CCTGACTCCCAAGAGTTGGAAACAGATGTGAAGCCACTTCACTGAGCCCATGCACGTTTCACCAAATTATAAATGTGCCACTAACAAGCAAAGACATTTTTAGTAACTTGTTCTGCATTTTCTGTACCTTGTAGAACGTGTTTTGGGAAAAATACTACTAAGACCTGTGATAAAAAAATCTAGGACTCAGCTGTTATTTATTTTTAAGTAACCAAGTACTATTTATGGCAAGTAAACAATATAGTTCATACTTCCCTACAAAGAAGTACCAAGGAGTCCCAATTATGAGTATACACATATGTGGGATTATAAAGAGACTTTTCCCCAGCTTTGTCTCCCCCAAAGACATGCCAAACATTAGGGGCTTTTTGCCGGCTTATGGTGGGAGGTCAGATGCTTGGAGACATCCTCCCCAAAGGCATTCAATTTCCAGACAGGTAAGCCCCGCTCCCTGCTGTTAAGAACAGTGGCTTCTCCCTAAAGGCTTGCAACCATTAGCTTGGTTCCTGTTGGTGGGGTTCACACCCTACTGATAATGGTTCCTATGGAGATCCAGAGAACAGATCAAACGGGCTCAGTGACATCCAAAGTTAGGCTGCCATCCTGAATCTAGGGATCCACCCATCTTGTCACATTTATACCCCCAATCCCTCTTCTTCCTATTGCGTGTATATCCCTAGATTGTCCCCCTCTCGTTGCTGTATAACCCGTATTGCAATCCCTTCCTGTGACATATGTCTTTACCTGTAATTGGTGGGCTTGCAATCCCCCCAAAGGTATATAGGCCTGGGTTAGCAATAAAGGGCCATCTCTCGGCTTCTCCCTTGACCTCTTGTCGGTTCCCCCTCTCCTCTCTTGTCCTCACTCCCCTGTTCCCTTTCCCCTTGCCCTCCTTCCCTTCCCCCTCTCTCCACGTGGACCACCAAGCGGGGCTGAGGTGAGCATTGCTACCAGGAAATGTGTCTGACTCCATTATTTCGATATCTCTTCTATCTCTCATGCTCTCTATGACTTTACTATAATCTTTACTTATCATTGCTGTACAATTGTGCCGATTGAACCTGTGATTAGTGGTGGGGGACTGGCACCTCTTCCAACCACACATATATAAGTAAACAAATGGTTAACTCTTTTTAATTACAACGACTCCGTGCCTATAGCTAAAACCAGACCGGGTGCCCCCATAACCCCCTGTAGAACAGAGTCCAACTGCCCCACAAGTGTCCAAGGTTGTCCTCTCTACTCTCCACACAAGCAGACAGCCATCGGAAGAGCTGGTGGGCTTAAACTGTCAGCCTTCTAGAGAGCACCAAACACCTTTCAACCACTGTGCTAACAAGCTCCCTCTGCATTTAGGGCATCTGAATTCTGACCTCCTCAGAAGGCTGAAGGGGGGCTTTCCATTTTGCCATGCACTGAAGCCTTCCACAACACTGCGTTTGTAACAAAGTCATGGGAAACGTATTCTCATCTGATGCGTTAGTAAGGTGTTTGTGAGTTGAAAGTCACGGAAGGTGCACACTTTCTACAATAAAACAGTCCATCTGCATGGCCTCTACAGGTGTATCAACTGTAAGTGTGTAGGCATTTTCTAGTCCTGCCGCACTCTACTGTTCATTCCATGCAGTTTCCTTTCTCATAAACTAACTGTAATATAAAGACTAGTGCGCGAGTAGCACTTCCGACTTCCTGCTCCCACATCAGCCCTACCCAATTTATCATTTTTGCCATACTTGCCATTAAATTGTTTTTTAAAGAAAATAAATCATTACTGATAAATTAAAGGATATTGGGTACTTTTCCATGATACCATGCTTCTCCCACTCTGTCCCATAAGGTGAGCACTGTGTTGAATTTGGTATTTATCATTACCAAGTATGTTTGTTAGATTATAACCACCATGTATATAGGTTTATATACAGTATTGTTTTGTGTGTTTCCGACTCTTGGGAGTCCAGGTGGTGTGGTGGGAAAGCACTGGATGTGAAGTCATGAGACCTGAGCCTTTATTCTGGCTTACTGGCCAGCAGATATTTGAGCAACTATGAGTCCATTTTTGTCATCGCAAAATGTAAGCTTCAGAGTTTAAACTCTCGTTTTCAATATAAATAGCCTCCTTTTATATTGGCCTATTTCACTCAATAAGGTGTTTCTGCTCTATCCACATGGATCATTACAGCTCTAGTTTCTTTTTAAAAAATTGCATTCATGCATCTAGTTTATTTCTTTAAACACTTGCTACTATGTGAATAGGATCACACTTATTTTCCTAATCTCCTGATGTTGATCTTTTGTTTTCTTCCACTTTATATCACCCAAAAAGGGTCATACTAACATTTTTTATGGATGTCTCCTTAGGCAGTTTTGCCGAAACCTTTAGGAAACTGCCGAGGAGTGGGATTTCAGGATCCAAGGGTGTGCACACCTTCAATTTGTTAAGAGACTTCTTTGCTTTCCAACCTCACCACATTTGGATATTGTCGGACTTAAACCTTTTTGTCAAGCTGAAGCTATGAGGTGATACCTCATTACTATTCAAATGGACATTTCCATGATTAGTAGCTAGAGAAGCAACGGACAAATGTGTCTATTTTTCTATTGGTTTGTCATTTTTTTAATGATTTGTCTGCTTTTTGTCTTATATTCTACTGTCTTTTCAACTGCAACAGTGTTGGTTTTGAACAAAATTTTAACGAAAGGCTTAGTCTTATTAAGTCTTAGTGAAATTAAGGCTTTCTATTTGGTGTGTGTTTTTGCTTCTTTTGAAAGCAACTCTTTCCACCCATAGTTTTTCTCTTCTAAAAGTGAAAAGAATTTTACTTTTTATCTGCAGATCTTTCTCTGAACTTCATTTCCATGTATAGCAGAGGGCAGCGGTTTTTGGATGGATACATCATTATCCCAGAACCGTTTATTGTCTAGCTACCTGTTTCTTCACAGATTCATCATGCTCCCACTATAAAGTACTGGTTTCAAACTTTCAAATTTTTGTAATCTTACTTCTGGGCCTTCTCTAGTTCTATCTATCTAAGTATCTACTATCTATCATCTATCTAATCTATCATCTATCCTATCTATCTATCTATCTATCTATCTATCTATCTATCTATCTATCTATCTATCTATCAATCATCTATCTTATCTATCTATCTATCTATCATCTATCTTATCTATCTATCTATCTATCTATCTATCTATCTATCTATCATCTATCTATCTATCTATCATCTATCTATCCCTGCGCCCATACAATACTGCCCTCATTACTATTATTGGTGTTAGGGGCCCTCAAATTCATTACGAATCAGTGACCCAATGCGACAGAGATGAACTGCTGCAGCGGCTTCAAATCCCAGACTGTAATTTGTATGAGAGGAAACTGCTAGGTCTTTCTCCCCCGATAGCAGGGAGATTTCAAACTGCTCGCTTTCCGGCTAGCAGTCAAGCGCCTGACCGCTGTACTACCAGGGCTCCTTGACATTTACGAAAAACTCATACAAAGCCCTCATATCTGATGGAGTAGGCGCTCCTACTTTATCCTTCACACCTTTCAAGATAATCCTAGGCTGTTGTCGTACTGTAGAAATGTTACAATGAACTTGTCAAGTGCCAAGAAAAGTCCTGTTGAGATTTTGAACGGAATTTAGAAATTATACTGGAAACTGAATTGCTCTCCTGGCATCAGGACAATAAAGGCTGGGCTGAGCGACCATGAAAGCCTGGAGGCGCTTTGACGTCAACTCCACTCCAGAGACTCATCCCAAGAAACAATTCCAGGATGGCACAAGCTAGTTGGGTGCATAAAGCACTTTTCGTAGCACTACTTACAGTGGGAAAATGCAAAGGACTTAAGTATCAGTGACACAGCAATATTTATGGAAACTAGGATGGAGATTCCTAAAAATAGACTCGATGCTCAATATTGTGTCCTTTCTGTGAGTGTTTGGGATCAAATGATGGGTAACAACAACGCAAAGGTTTGATGGGAACCTTAGAGGGAAGGGTGAGAAAGGCCGCAACACTTGAAGAACCATTAAAAAATTGGTGGATGTTTTGCTGTGTGTTTATATTTAACAATAACAAACAAACAAGCAAACAAAAATAATCCCTGCTGGTTCGGAAAACCACGCAACAGCAATGGCAGCATTTACTTGGATAGCAGTACAGGGTTAAAATTAGGATATCCGTTGCTTGTATCATATAAGTACAGCGGTGGGGAAAACTCTCAAGCAAGTACACAAAGAAGAAACTTTACTAAAATGCTCACAACAGATCAGCTTGGAGGCTGGAATTCAATTCCCTCCCCTGCCCTACATGTTTATCTCCCTTTTATCTATGTTCTCCAATTTCTGAAAGATTCTTTTATTATTATTACAGCAAATGTTAGAAAGAAAAAATAGGTTGTTATAGGAGCTAGTTTTCCATTAAAGCAGAATGTTTTATATATATATATATAAATATATGTTTATATGTGTGTTATATATGTGTGTGTTTTATAGCTATAAATATGTTTATATATATGTTATATGTGTTTTATATATATTTATGTTTATATATGTTATGTATGTGTGTTATATATATATGTTTATATATGTGTTATATGTGTGTTTATATATGTGTGTTTTTATATATATATATATTATATATATATATATATATCACTAAATAATAAACTTAGCACCAGAGCGTTTCTTCAGTTTTTACCAACTTTGAAAGTGGGTGACTGAGGAAAGCAAACAATGAATGAATCTGACAATCAGGGGTTACTTCTGGTTCAATCAGTGGTCATTTTCAGTAACTTTTGAGGAAATAGCATCGCCTGCTTTCTCAGTGTGGAAAATAAAAACATTTAGAGATGTGGATTAGTTATCAAGCTCCTGAGAAACAAATATTCATTAACATAGCTCTGAAATCTCCACTAACCCCCACGTAGCAGACAATTTCTGGCCCCTTCACCTCAAAAAAATTTTACAGTGTTCTTTCTCCAGGGCTCACCTTACCTTGAAGACGTGAAAGGCCTCAAATTGAATGTTGGGACTCTTGTCTCGGAGCAGGTTCATCATCAGCTTCAGGTTCTCGGGTTTGCCGATGTACTTCGTCATGATGGCAAAGTTGTGCCGATCCAGGATCAGCTCCCCTAGCAGCTGCAGGCCAACACAAATTCAAAGCCATCATCTGTCTGAGGGGCACCTTATTCAAAATAGACCTCAGCTCTTCTCAGTGAAATGCAAAATATAAATGGAGCTAACCATGTGAGCATATACAAACAAATAGGTCAAGTAGATCTTCAAGCTCAGGTATTCCATTTTTACCCCCAGGGCTTTCATTCAAACCCTCACGACCTTTCTTTCACAGGAAGTACTGTAGCTAGAAAGAGCTCTGGGGGTGGAGCGGTTACCTGCTGGGCTGTGATCGACATGGTTGGCAGTTTGAAACCACCAGCCGCTCGGAGGGCGAATGACTGGGCTTTCTGCTCCTGTACACAGCTGTTCCCATCTTGGAAACTCACAGGGGGTCGCGGTGAGTCAGTTTGACCCGATGGCTGGGAGTTTGGTTTGGGCGTTGCGAGTGGTGCGAGTGGCGATCCCGGGAAGGTGGGGTAGAAAGGGGGCCGACAAGGACAGGGAAAGCCACTGCTGAGTCATCATATACTGGGAACAATGAAGCTGTGATTCTTCGCACCCAGGACCCCCATGAGGGAGGACACAGTTGGGGTCCCAGCCAACCAGGAATAACTGCCTTTCTTGAAAACCTTAGCCCCGAGCTCAACAGCCGTTGCCACAGTATACGAAGGGCCAGCTTGTGAGAGTTCTGCATCACCATCACGGCACCACTCTTTTCTAGAAATGCTCGAGGGGTACCACACCCTAACACAGGGGTTCTCAATCTGTGGGTCGTGATCCCTTTGGGGGGGGGGTGTGTTGAATGACCTTTTCACAGGGGTCACCCGATTCATAACAGTAACAAAATGACAGTCGTGAAAATAATTTTAGGGAAACACAGGGAATCCAGGACAGATGATCCCTTCAGGACCAGTGGTGAGAGTAGCGATTACCTGGAGGGAGGGTGCAGGGAAGGTGGGGTAGAAAGGAGGAACCGATTACAAGGGTCTACATATAACCTCCTCCCTGGGGGATGGACAACAGAAAAGTAGGTGAAGGGAGACGTCGGACAGTGTAAGATATGACACAATAATAATTTATAAATTATCAAGGGTTCATGAGGGAGGGGGGAGGGGTGGGGAGGAGGAAAAATGAGGAGCTGATACCAAGGGCTCAAGTAGAAAGCAAGTGTTTTGAGAATGATGATGGCAACAAATATACAAATGTGTTTGACACAATAGATGTATGTATGGATTGTGATAAGAATTGTCCGAGCCCCCAATAAAATGATTTTTAAAAAAGGAAAACAAACAAACAAAAAAAGGAAATAATTTTATGGTTGGGGGTTACTACAATATGGGGAACTGTATTAAAGGGTCGCAGCATCAGGAAGGTTGAGAACCATTGCCATAACCGGTATACCTACAGATAAATTCTATCCGATCTATCATCTGCTAATACAACCTCACCCCTTTAACAATTAATTGTGTTAAGGCAATTGTTTAACATCATTGACCACTTTAGCCATTCAGTGTTAACCTATTGTAATCATGACCGGTAATGACAAGATGCTGCGTTTGTTATACTACGAAAGCATTACCAGGCACTATGGTATGCAAGGAGCCCTGGTGCTGTAGTGGGTTAGGGTTAGGCTGCTGATTCAAAACCACCAGCTGCTCCACCGAAGAAAGATAAGCCTTTCAACTCCTGGAAAGAGTTACAGTCTCAGAAACGTACCACAGCAGTTGGACCCAGTTATATAGAGTCACTATGAGTCAGAAGCAATCAATGGTGGTGAGTTTGATTTTTTATTGTAACAAATAAACTCCACCAAATAACCTTTCACGGAAGGGTCTGAGTAAGTGAAGGTGGAGGAAGACCCAATACTGATATGATTCTGCTGTGAATGGTTATTCAACAGGGGTGACTGTGAGTCCCAACCGGCTAGGTATAAAATCAGCCAGCTCAGAAGCAGGAAGGGGATGTCATTACCAGCAAAAGAGCCAGGAAGGGAGCGCATCTTTTGGACACCAAGATCGCTCTACATTCAAGCTCCTGGACCCAGGAGACAGCTTTGACATCAGAGGAGTAGCAGCAGAGCAACAGCAGCGCAACCAGGAGCCAGGACACGAGACAGAGTGGTGCCCCCCTCCAACTCCCCCCCACCAGCACAAGTAAGGATGCATGCTTTAGGGCGAGAGGCTGCCGTGTGGCGTGGGGAACCTCAACGTACTGGTTGCTGACCTATGGAGTTGGAGCTGAGTGTCTCTGGGTTGAGGCAAACAGTGGCGTGGCATGCCCTTTACGTATATGTCCAACTTTCACATGCATACGAGGCAAATGAAAATACCATGGCTTGGGTCAGGAACACCTTACTTCTCAAAATAACATCCTTGCTTTTCAACACTTTAAAGAGGTCTTGTGGAGCAGATCTACCTAATGCAATTAATCATTTGTCCTCTTGACTGTTGCTTCCATGAGCAAGGATTATAGATCCAAGCAAAATGAAGTCCCTGACAACTTCAATCTTTCCTCCATTTACCATGATGCTATCTATTGGTCAACTGTGAGGAGTTTAGTTTTCTTTACATTGAGTTGTAATCCACACTCCCTCATCTTCAGCAAAATTCAGAACATGATTAACAATAGGCTGCCGGTAGGAACTATTCAGACACTGAAAACAGCCCAATTATAAGACAGCTTATTTAGAGGAAATTGGTAAAGTTCCTCTGTTACAATAATCTAACATCTCCTGTTTCTCAAACACCTATGTACAAAAACATCACAAAATCCAGGGATCTGAATGGGGTGATATCAAAACAGAATAACCTGTTATCACAGATTCAATGTCCCTAGGTAGAAAGCAATATTTAATGAGTTCACTGTTTCTTTGTCAACGCATTCTACATTTTCCTTGAATAACACAAGGCCGTTTTAGCAATGGTATTGCTCATAATCTAACAACCAAACAAGCTGATTCGTTAAAAACACTTACAATCTTTGCGTGGTTAGATTTGCTTTCTCGGTTACTTAACACTGTTCAACCAGTGCCCCATTTTACCACATTTAACTCATCTATGCAAGACACGCAACAAGAAAAGATTTTAGGCAGAAATAGTCAATGGAGTATGTAAATAATAAAATTACAAATTAGAACGTATAAAAATACAAGAGCGATGCCTTTCAAGTGGTTGGGGCATTTTGTAAATATGTAGGAAAGGGAATCATTTTGAAAAGAGAGAGTTTAAAGGAGAATTTCAAATGGGGCCTGCTCTTTACCATGTCACTGGGACAGCACACACATCATAGCTGCGAAGGCATGGGAGGTGGGATGAGGCTGGGCTGGTGGAAAGAAGTTACCAGGCAAGAGTGAGGAGTGGCCTTCTTCTCGCTCTCTGCTACCCTCAACAGTTTCATTGCTTCTTGTACCAATCACACATTCACTGGGTTAGCAGGCTGCTGTTTGAAGATGCAAATGTATCCCGGAAGAAATCAATCTAATCCTTAATCCCCCAAATGAGAAACTGAAGGCTAGGGCTGACAATGAGGAGAGGAATATTGACTTGTAAAAGTTATTACTTAATAAATATGTATAGTTCTTAGAATGGGCCAATATAATCATACGTCCTATCTGCTCTAACCTCTTACAAATGCTCACTGGAGAACAGGGCAGCTGGAGCTGAAGATATCCTGAGTAAGTGAGCAAGAAGAGATGAGGGGGCAGGAGGGAAGCGGGAGGAGGCAGAGGGGCCAAGGAGAGTTGGTATGACTACCCAAACTAGTGGTGACCCCTGTCCACGGTCGTCATCACAGAACTGTGCCCCAAAGCGATGTCAATGGCTAGTTTGCGGGGAGTAGATCTCCACAAGCCCTTCTTCCCAGCCATCTCCCTCCAGGTGGACCTTTCCGTTAGCAGCGGCGCGTGCTGCTTGTGCCACCCAGAGATGCCCCTTGTCCTTCAGAGTCCCTGATAAATACAGAATCCAGTGCTGTAGGAACGGAGCGTAGCAATACAATAGATGCTTGTCTTCAGCTGCTCTGGGCGTGGGACAGCATGGCTTTAAGGGCATTGCCTTCCTTTGCTTGGAGGTCAATTTGAGGGAGTGCTGACAGCCCCACGGGTTTTTTTGTTCACTTGAATTGTCCTTCATAGTTGGTTTCTTTATAAATGGAAACTCAATAAATAGTGTTGAATGACTGGCTGAAAAGAGTTTATTCACCTCTCCATTAACCAGGTTGGGAGAAAGACAGGGGTTTCCACTTCCATAAAGAGTTGCTAAAACAATCATTGTTAGGATGGTGCAGGACCAGATGATGTTGTGTCCTGTTGCCTACAAAGTTGCGGTAAGTCGGAAGTGATTGACAGCACCAATCAACAACTAGGAGGCTCGTTATCCAAATTACCTTGAGTTCTTTGTGTTTTCCTTTATTTCTGAGTATGTTTACAGTCAGACGCATAGTTCTTTGAATGTCATCATCCAGGCAAGCAAAATATTATATAGGTGATATTTAGCAGTCTTGAATATTATGTAAATTGCTTGATGAAAAACAGCTAACATATGATTATCTGTCAGAAGGATTCTTACTATTTAGACTTCCAGTAGAACCCCAGGGCTCGACGCTAGTCTGTTTTAGAAGGAGCGTTCAGATGCGATGCAGTCGAGTTCCGAATTAATGTTTCCCCTTAAGAAATAACTGAAAACTGATGAATTCATTTTCGACCACCAAGTTTGTACCCTAACTTTGCCTTTTTATACCACACATTGCACAGAAATGTCAAAGTAAATAAGTTCAGCGTGAAATAATATAATTTAAATAAGACACACAGCATTAAAAAGTTTTTAACAACTGCAGTATGGCCCATACCTTGAGACTGAGGAGGATCTGGATCTGCGGACACAGATGTGGAAGGAAGGATGGAGAGAGAGTCATTGTTTGGAAGGGGAATCCCCTTCCAGAAAAATCAACTGGTAGCTGCTTTTCGGGAGTTTTTTCCCTTCTTTGCCTTTTTTTTCACTAAGGCCTGGCTGGCTTTCTCAAAAAAAACCACCCAATCTGTCTAACCTGGTCTGCTGTTGGCGTTTCCTTAACTCAGCAGTGCTCAACCTGCGGGTTGTGACCCCTTTGGGGGTCGAACAACCCTTTCACAGGGGTTGCCCGATTCATAACAGTAGCCAAATGACAGTGATGAGGTAGCAGTGAAAATAATGTCATGGTTGGGGGTCACCACAACGTGAGGAACCGTAGTAAAGGGTGGCAGCTTTAGGATGGCGGAGAACCACTGCCTTAACTGTTTTCTAAAAGGGTTTACTAAATTATCATCAACAATATCGATAACACGGTTAAGCAGTTCCTTATCAGGATGAGTCTTCTCAAAAAACTCTTTCTTAGAACCCATGTTTTTTATCTAAAAACAGTACAAAAGGCTACAAAAACTAAGAAAATTATAGCAAAACGCTTGGAACACAGCTGCAGAAGTTTTAAGCAAAGCATAGTAACAATGCAAACTAACACCAAGTGACCCAAACGTGAAACACCAACTGCTTTTGTTTACAAACATCAGGTGTTGCGATATGACAAACTAACAATTTATAAGCTATCAAGGGCTCGTGAGGGAGGGGGGAGCGGGGAGGGAGGGGAAAAATGAAGAGCTGATGCCGGGGGTTTAAGTGGAGAGGAAATGTTTTGAGAATGATGAGGGCAATGAATGTACAAATGCGCTTTACACAATTGATGTGTGTATGGATTGGGATAAGAGTTGTAGGAGGCCCTAATAAAATGGTTTCATTAAAACAAAAATCAGGTGTCGGGTCAGATTCCCATGGTTTGTTCGACTCTGATGCAAAATTTTCTTGACATTTCCCGTCAAGATTCGATCAGGCTGAGTACTGATGCAGTCGAGCACTGGGTTCTACTGTGTCTGAGCAGGGCACTGGAGGGAAGAGACGCACTTCTGGTCAACCTCCTGCCTCCTGGAGCTCACTCACTTCCCTTGGGATGCTTCTGGGCGCCTTTTATCAAGGAAGGGGCAGCAAGGCCACAGAGCAAATGTGGAGGGCACTGTTCTATTGGGCTCACTGCCTGATACTTCTTGGTTATCATGTAAATTCAAATAACCAATGCCATTTGGACACACACACACACACACACACACACACACTATTCTCACTATTCTCACACACTTGCCCACTCACCCTCCTCTTCCCATTCAGCCCCTATACTCTTGTGATTTGCTTATCTATTTTCTACTTTCCCCCAACAAAATGAATCTGCATACAGCAGGGATTTTTATTTTGTTCTTGATTATAACCACAATGTCTGGAACATAAGTATTTAAACACGTGTCGACTACATGGAATGGCCTATTATCTTTCTCACCACTCCATCCTGTAACCCCTGCCAATAGCTCATCCAACTGTCAATGTCGATTATTTAGGGGGGACGAGATCAGAACAAATAGAGAAGGCACCCGGGTAGCAATTATGATCACTCTGAAGGGGATCACAATAGGAGATCTTGGATAGAGTGGGAGAAAAATGTTAAACAAAATTCAAAATAATAAAGACCAGATTTTCTGGTTTGTGGCAGACAGGTAGAACCCCAGGATTATGACCGCTAGATGCCTTTGAAGCCTGGTACTGAATTCACCCGCAGGGTCAACTTTCAGACAAATGATAGGCCTACAGAAACCAAAAACCCAAACTGAGTTGATCCTACTGAGTCCATTTCAACACATATCAACCCTACAGGGCAGAGCAGAACTGCCCCTGTGGGTTTCCGGCACTGTTTGTGGGCTTAGAAAGTCCCATCTTCCCGCACAGTGGCTGGTGGCTTTGAACTGCTGACCTTGTGGTTACCCACCCAGGGCTTAACCAAATGCACTGCCAGGATTCCTCTTATAAACCAATAAGGTGAGCAATAATCCCAGGGAGATATGCACTCCTTAGGGCAATCAACCATTTGAGATCAAAAGGCAAGCATTTGCCCAAGGACAAAGCTCAGGAAGCAGGAAGAGATAAGCTAGAAGGCTGAATGGGAACCAAGGGAAATGGAAAGAGAATACTGTTACTTTAGGGGGCTCAAAGTCAGTGTCACAAAACAAAACATGTTAAATGGAAAATTTGTACTTTGTAAACTTTCACTCAAGTACAGATCAAATGAAAACCACCAAACCAAACAAAACCCATTTCATGGATGTTGTGCTCAATGAAAAATAAAGATATGAGCCCATCAATTGCCCTGCTTACAACTCACAAGGAATGCTTAATTTTGCATTTTTGTGTGACATATTTCGCCATAACCTTTTTCTGTCCTCTTCTCTGTAAAATATCCCACCAAGTCTAGTTTACGGAGATGTGTAAAAGACATGAGATTATTTATTTTAGTGCTTTGTTTCAAGATAGGAGAGAATTACAAGAGAACTTCCCTGATTTTTCCTTATAAATAGTAATCCATATCTGAACTTAATTCTAAGAGTAATTTCTTTTCACTTTTAGAAAATCGCCTTTCAGAGAGAACTATGTTATTTATGTTAGACTTGATTTTCTTAACAGAAATATACTATTTTCTCCTTTATCATGTACTTGCTATATATTAACGTCCAAAACCTATTGAGGCAGCTAATGCCCCCTTTTATTTTGCGACAAAGAAGAGTCATAACATACAGCATACTTTTTAAAGTTAAAAACAAACAAAAAATAGGCTTTAATTGTTTTGCATTTACTTATCCAGTAATTAAGCAATCATTTGTTAACATGGATTTTTCATGTATTATAGCGACTCCATCTTAAAGAAATTTGATATTACCTTTAAAGATTGTCTCTTAGTCACGTAATTCTCAGACTGAAGCAACTTCTCATAATCTTCAAAAATCTAATAAAAAGAAAAGAAAAATTAAAGTGTAAAACCAGAAGGGATTTCTGTGTCTTGTTTGCCTCATCTTGTCTGCTGTCTTTAACTCAGGGGAGCCTCACTGGGGAGCATTGTCCTTGGCATATTAAAGTCAAGCTACTCCCCACTGCTCACAGGAAAGTTCACTGTATCCCCATCCTCATTGACACATGAAGGTACTGGGGAGTAGGGAGATTAAATGATGCAAGAAATTGATTGTCTATTTTAATAGAGTTCTGTAAACTAAAAATCAAATAGGAAAATGAAGTCATTTTGAGTCCTTCCAGTAAATCATTTTGAAATTTTTAAAAATAAATCATTTATTTATTTTAAACCATTTTATTGGGGGCTTATACAATTCTTATCACAATTCATACATCCATCCATTGTGTCAAGCACATTTGTACATTTGTTGCCATCATCATTCTCAAAACGTTTTCTTTCTACTTGAGCCCTTGATATCAGCTCCTCGTTTTTTCCCCCTCCTTCCCCACTCCCTCATGAACCCTTGATAATTTATAAATTATTATTTTGTTATATCTTACACTGTCCAACATCTCCCTTCACCCACTTTACTGTTGTCCATCCCCCAGGGAGAAGGTTATATGTAGATCCTTGTACTCGGTTCCCCCTTTCTACTGCACCTTCCCTCTACCCTCCAGGTATCGCCACTCTCACCACTGGTCCTGAAGGGATCATCTATCCTGGATTGCCTGCGTTGTCAGCTTTTATCTGTACCAGTGTACATGCTCTGGTCTAGCCATATTTGTAAGGTAGAATTGGGATCATGATAGTGGAGGGAGGAAGCATTTAAGAACTAGAGGAAAGTTGTATGTTTGATCATTGATACCCTGCATCCTGACTGGCTCTTTTCCTCTCCATGACCTTTCTGTAAGGGGGTGTCCAGTTGCCTACAGATGGGCTTTGGGTCTCCACTCTGCACTTACCCTCACTTACAACGATGTGATTTTTTGTTCTTTGGTGCCTGCTACCTGATCCCTTTGACACCTCGTGGTCACACAGACTGGCGTGCTTCTTCCATGTGGGCTTTGTTGCTTGTGAGCTAGATGGCCGCTTGTTTATCTTCAGGTCTTTAAGACCCCAGGGGCTATAGCCGGGCACCATTAGCTTTCTTCACCACATTTGCTTATGCACACGTTTGTCTTCAGCGATCGTGTTGGGAAGGTGCGCATCATGGAATGCCAGTTTAATAAAACAAAGTGCTCTTGCATTGAGTAAGTACTTGAGTGGAGGTCCAATGTCCATCGGTTACCTTAATATTAAAACTATAAATATATGTACATAGATATATTTCCCCACCATCCTATATAATATATTTACATGTACATACAAGTGTATGTACATGCCTATATTTAGACCTCTATAAATGCCTTTTGCCTCCTAGTTCTTCCTCTATTTCCTTTTACTTTCCTCTTGTCCCACCATCATGCTCAGCTTTCATTTGGATTTCAGTAATTTCTCTCGGTTACACTGCCCTTGCTGAATCCCTACCAGGCCTCTCACACCCTCCTTGCCACTAATTTTGGATCACTTGTTGCTCCCTTGTCCCTGGGTTGGTCAGCACCACCTCCTTTCCCCGCCTGCCCCTCTCCTATGTCCCCCCAGAACCATAGGTCCCGCTGTTTTCTCCTCCAGACTGTTCACCCAGCCTATCTTATCTAGATAGACCTGCAGAGATAATAATATGCACCAAAAACCAAGGCATACCAAGACAAAGCGACAGAAGAGAACACAACGATGACAACAACAAAGAAAACCAATGACCCAGAGAAGAATAACTTAATTTTTTTAAAAAGAAAGAAAAAAATTTAAAATGTTAAAAAGAAAGAAAAAACCTGTGACTAGAGCAAGGTCAGATTTTTGACCTCTAGGCATGTCCTCTAGTCGAGTCCGATGGGGCGGTATGCTCCAGCCCCAAAGTCTACCCTTTGCACTCCCTCGGGCGCTCCCTGCTCTTCATTTTGAAAATCTATTCTGCCATTTTAAATCTGTTCATTTAGTAGCCTTGGTGGTAACTATGAAAGGCCATCTGGTGGCACACTGGTTAAAGCACTCGGCTACTAGGCAAAAGGTTGGCAGTGTGAACTTACAAGTCACTGTGTGGAGGAAGAAAGATGTGGCAGTCTGCTCCCATAGAGCACAGCACTGGGAATCCTATAAGCAGTTCTATTCTGTTCTTCAGGGTTGCTGTGAGTTGTACTGTACTTAACAACATTTGCTTGTTGGTGGTCTTTTTCCTTTGTGAGAGCTGATTCCAGGACTAAGGGACACTTGACCTAAGTCATGGCATTTTCGATGACCTCATGTACATGTAAAAGCTAGACATTGGATACCGACAGCAGAAGATTGGATGCTTTTGAATTAGTGTTGGCAAAGAATATTAAATATACCACGGGCTGTCAGAGAACAGCTACAGCTAGAATCCTCTTAGAAGCAAAGATGAGGAGACTTTGCTGAAAGTACTTTGGATATGCTACCAAGAGGGTCCAGTCCCTGGTGGGGCAGAGGATCTGCGAAATAGAAGACTCCCAGTGGCAGCCACTGGAGCGCAAACATCTAGGCCTGTATTTCACACTAGCACCCGGACTCCCAGACACACGAAGGAAGGGAGAGCAAGCCTTGCATAGGGATAAAGGCAAAAGAGTTCAGGAACTGAAAGAGAGAAAACACTTCGGGTCCTCAGAATGCTGGAGGTAAGGTATATGTGTGCAAATGTGTTTGGTGAGAGCAAGCGGTGTGCGCGGACAATAGTTACTGAGAGGGAATTAGAGTACAACATTTTAAAGTGTATGTAAATATAAATATTAAAAATTAAATACAAATATAAAAACAAGACAGTGGTTTTCAAGGGGAGCGGATGGGTTCTTTAAATTCAGAGCACGATGGTCTGTTTAGAAGGAAATGATTGTTGTTTTGGGATCTGCTTTTCTTGGGCATTTTTTAACACCTTTATTGTCATATAATCCACATACAGTAGTTTAAAATAGTAAAATGAGTTTTACTATCACAAAAATTCATTGTCAAACATTTTATTCTTTTCTTGTATTCATTATTAGCTCCGTGTTTCCCTCCAACTTCCCTTGCCATATCCTAAGAAATTATTCATTCAGTTACTGTCTCTATAGATTTAGCCATCCTGGGTTTCAAATAAAGAAAAAAACACACTCAAAAGGATTTCTATGTTAAGTATTAAGGTAGCAGATGGACACTGGGGCTCTACTTAAGTACTCCCTCAACGCAAGAACACCAGCATTCTGTGATGCTCACCCTCCCTGATACAATCACTGAAGATAAAGCAGGTGCATAAGAAAACGTGGTGAAGAAAGCGGATGGTGCCCGGCTATCAAAAGATAAAGTGTCTGGGGTCTTAAAGGCTTGAAGATAAACAAGCGGCCATCTAGCTGAGAAGCAACAAAGCCCAAATGGAAAAGCACAGCAGCCTGTGTGATCATGAGGTGTTGATGGGATCAGGTATCAGTTATCAAAGACCCAGCACAAAAAAAACATATCAATGTGAATGTGGGGGAGTGCAGAGTGGAGACCCAAAGCCCATCTGTAGACAATTAGACATCCCCTTACAGCAGGGTCACAAGGAAGATGAGCCAGTCAGGGTGCAGTATAGCACCAAGGAAACATACAATTTTCCTCTAGTTGTTGAATGCATCCCTTCCCCCCCCCACCCCACTATCATGACCCCAATTTTACCTTACAAATCTGGCTAGACCAGAGCATGTACACTGGTACAGATAAAAGCTGGCAACACAGGCAATCCATGACAGATAAACCCCTCAGGACCAATAATGAGGGTAGTGATATCCACAGGGCAGGGGGAGAAAAGGGGAACCAAATGAATGACATAACCCGACCCCCCCAGGGGATGAACAACAGAAAAGTGGGTGAAGGGAGACAGTGGTCAGTGTAAGACATGAAAAAAATAATTTATAAATTATCAAGGGTTCATGAGGGAGGGACAGTGGGGGAAGGAGGCAAAAAAAAGAGGAGCTGATACCAAGGGCTCAAACAGAAAGAAAAGGTTTTGAAAATGATGATGGCAACATATGTACAAACGTGCTTGACACAATGGATGTTTGTACGGATTGTGTTAAGAGCTATCAAAGCCCCCAATAAAATTCTTTTTTTTAAAAAAAGAAAAACGCACACACAAAAGGAAATTCCAACAATAACAAGAGAAAAACTGCAATTTAAAAGAAAGCAGAAAACATTAAAAACTAGAACAGATTAAAAATGGGTCCAAAGGAAGAACAAAGACTAAGGTGTTAAATTTAACCTAAGTACATCTGCATTAGCCTACTTTCAATGCACTTTGTCTGCTAACAAGGCTATGTACATCCCTGGTTGATGGTCAGAGGTCATTCACCAGAGGGCATTCTACATGGGGACCCGCAAATGGATTTAGGTTTTCATTGTCATCCATAGCCTTGTGCACACCTGATGCTCAAAATTTAAGCTTCAATATTGTTCCCTCCTACAATCTTGCATTTTATTATTTATCATCCTCGGATCACCCAAGCTGATGTGCTCCTTCCGTAAGGACTTAGCTATTAACTCACTTAAATGGTTCCTTGTTTTAAGACAAACCAAAGGAGTACTCTTGAAGGACACCGGACTATTACAGACTTAATACATCAAGATGTTTGAAGAAAACTGAAAAGTGCAGTTCAAAAAAAAAAAGGAAGGACCTTGTGCCAAGAAAAAGTTCCCCATCATGACAATGTACCTGCTCATTCAAGGGTAGCATGGGGTGTCCTGCGAGTGTTTTGATGGGTAAACCTTAGCCTACAGCCTTGAGCTTGTCCTTTCAGATTTCGTTTAGTGGCTTAGTGCAAAGAACATTTAAAGGGAACATGATTTGAATGCCCTGAGGATGCCTTAACTGCCATTTTACTGTGGTTTAAACTGAAGGGTGCGGAATTCTTGGGAGGAGGGTTGGAGAGATGGAAACACCACCTTCAGAACTGTATAGGCCTAGATGAAGGAAATGTCAAGAAACAATAGCTTCACATTTTCATGTTTCAAAATAAAAGCTTCTATTAGAAAAGCAACACTTTTCTACTTACCCTGGCATCTGGTATGTTTCAATTATAATAGACAAGGTCATTGTACTCTTCAATGATTTCTTAATTGTCGTGGTGCATGATGATTTGGGGAGTCATAAAATTTATCTTGACAAATGTTGTGGTAAATTTTCATTGTAACGATCAAATGCAAATATAGGTATAAGGTATAATCTCCAAGATGACCGTTTCATTATTTGACACTCACTCATCATTTGTTTCAGCTTCATATGTTACTGCTAAAGAAATAGGCTATGCAAGGGGTCTAACATGTTTGAAGGAGCAGGCATTCTCAAACTAGTGTTTGGGTCCCTCTGGGCTCTATCTGCGGAATTAATCTAAATGACTAACTTACATAAGTCCCATTTAGAGACAAAGATATGATTAGGTAAAGAGGATCCGAAGAGAAAGAGTTGATAGTCTCTCAAATTATTTGCATATTACCACTGAATCTGAAGCATTATAGCACTTTTACGTCACTCACTCCATAGGAAACATTCGTAGCTGACCATGCCAGATTTTGTCCTGTGCTAGCATACGCCCCTTGTACCTGTCAACAGTCCATAGGTATCTTATAAGGTTCATTCAGGGTAGAAAAGTTCCAGAGACTTTTTGATGATGATTATTAGTATGTGTTGGCTACTGGTTATCATACCCTGTTCCCCCAAAATAAGACAGTGTCTTATATTAATGTTTGCTCCCAAAGATATACTAGGTCTTATTTTCAGGGGATGTCTTATTTTTCCATGAAGAAGAATATGGTACACATTTATTGTTTATTGTTTTATTAAAAGAGACCTCGCACTTCCTGTCTGCTCCGGCTGCACTGCGGCCAACAGTGAGCTGCGCTGCGGTGCCCACCGCTATGGTCCAGAGTCACGGTAGCTTGGGGTGGGGGGGGGCTTATTTTCGGGGTGGTCTTATTTTTCGGGGGGATGCCTTATATTTCAGCGAGAGGCAAAACTGTAAGTAGGTCTTATTTTCAGGGGATGTTTTATTTTCGGGGAAGCAGAGTATGCCTATGTTGTGCCCAATTCTATCCCAATATATTGTATATAGTTGGGAAGCATGAAGTCATCCAAAATACACTGTATATATAGATATAAAGGTAGAGTTTTGGGAGGACATTGCCAGGTCTATCTTCCAAGGCCTGGGTGTGTTTGAACTACCACCCTTTGGATTATCCCAGCATTTAACTCTTTGGGATGCCTGGATTTACTATTAGAAATGAGAAATAGTTAGATAGTTTTCCTATCAGATAAAACTAAGTATCAACTAAGTAAAATAATTTCACCAGGGTAAAGCGATCTTCCATTTAGATTTACTCACTGCCTCTCAATAGTCTATGTAAAAAATAACAAAACCAAAAACATCCCGAGCCTGTTACTATCAAGTCCATTCTGAGTCCTAGTGACCCTATAAGGAAGAGCAGAGCTGGCCCCAAAGGCTTCCAAGGCTGTACATCGTATGGCAGGCGACGGTCCCATCTTTTGCCATGGGATGGCTGGTGGTCCAGTGAGCAGTCAAGCACTTGCGCAATGCACCACCCAGGCCTCTAAGGGAACATGAGCGCTCTTAACTAAAAGTCAAAGCAAGAAGGGTCCATTTGTTTCTTGGAGCCTCAGAGTACAAGAAAAAATGAGAAACTCTTGACTTCCTGACCCCCTCAGATTTCTATAAAGCTCCCCGACGGCCTGGCTTCAAAGTAAATAGGTGAATTAAGTCTATGGTTGGTTTCCACATGGATACCAGGGTTAAGTAGTCATAGGCATAAGAGGAAGAGGGAAAAAATGAGGTGAACTCTTTAAAATGATTTCTACTTACAACATCATAATTTTGTTCTAAGAAGTCTGCTACCAACACCTTATGCCTGGTTAATAAATCCTAGAGAAAGAACAAAGGAGACAAAATGATTATACTTCATACATTTTAGAGATCTATCATTGCCAAGGTTTTATAAATCTATGACTTTGAAACATACAAAAGTTTCAAAAGAATTATTTTCATTTATGTCAGAAAATTATTTACATTACCACTAGAATACAAGTTTGGTTCATATTAAAACAAATGCAAAAAATACCAACTTAGTGTTTTAAATTCTTACCATTATTAGAGATACGATAGAAATAATTTAATTGGTGAAACAAATTGTACCTAAGAGATGAGTTTATCATATAGGTCTTCAAGCCATACTATATTTTGATAGTGATATAATAAATATTCAGATAAAGCTTAATACGCTCTTTTAAAATGCCTTTGAGGACAAATCAATGAAAAAAAAAAGAATTCTGAATGACCTAAAATTGAATCTCATAAGCTTTTTTATTTACCAGTTTTGAAATAGAGGTGTGGAGGGCACTGGGAAGCACAGGGATGCATGTGTCCACTTAACAGCATCATCAAAAGTAAGGTTGTGTTCTCGGGTTACAGGCAGCACAACAAATTCTTGTACAGTTGAAGACAAGTATCTTTTTTTTTTTTTTTTAACATTTTATTAGGGGCTCATATAACTGTTATCCCAATCCATACACACATCAATTGTGTAAAGTGCATTTGTACATCATTCTCAAAACATTTTCTCTCCACTTCAACCCCCGACATTAGGTCCTCATTTTTCCCCTCCCTCCCCGCTCCCCCGAAGACAAGTATCTTATTGCAGCTATAAACTCATAAGAAACCTGAACAAAGCATGAAAGAACATTTAACTCTGTTCAATTCACCCCTAAGTTATAGCCTTACTTCACCTTCCTGATGAAAGAAATCAAGTTTCATCTAATTCCTTTTATATGCTTAAAAGTTTTTTATACACTTAGAGGCGAACTACCTTCCCCATGTACCAAGTGGAATTTAATTAAGAATATGACCGGAACTTTAAATTTTTCCAAAAGAAATTCTTTTACTTAATACAAATTTAATTAAAGCTTCCTAAAATATATAAACGACATATAACACCTCACAGAGGAAATAAAGGCAGCAGCAGTAATAGCAAAACCCATTTATTTCTCTTTGAATAACAAGGAAAATATTTAAAGCATTTTACACTGTAATTTTGAAATTCAAAAATAAAGGCACTGGCTATTAATCTCTTATTACTTATTACCACACAACTTGATTAACCAGTGAGCCTATTAGTGAAAATTGGGACTTTTTCCCTATACTATGCTGGAACTTTAGTTATAAAATGAAAAAAAAAAAAGACAAAAAACTCTACAGCAGTGGTTCTCAACCTTCCTAATGCTGCTACCCTTTCATACAGTTCCTCATGTTGTGGTGACCCCCAACCATAAAATTATTTTTGTTGCTACTTCATAACTGTAATTTTGCTACTGTTATGAATCTGGTGACCCCTGTGAAAGGGTGGTTTGACCCCCAAAGGGTCGTGACCCACAGGTTGAGAACTGCTGCTCTACAGGGTACCCATTCCTGGACAGTTCAAAGTCTCAATGTAAACCAACTTCTATATCTAGGGACCCCCTCAGAGAGTAGGGAAGCTTTATAGCTCTTTGTCTGTTCTAAAGGATATCCAGGTACCACCAGCTGCACCTTGTGAGAAAGATGGAGCTTTCTACATCCTTAAAGAATTATAGTTTGTGTTGAATAGAGGCATTATGAGTATCTGTGTTAGTCTGGATACTTTAGAGAAACAAATCGACCGAAACTCATGGATAAGAGAGAGTTTTATATAAAGGCTAAGTACACATCAAGAAAACATCCCAACCCAGTGCTGCCCAAGCCCACAAGTCCAACATTAACCCATATGTCCAACACCAATTCACAAAGTCTTCCTCCATCTCACAAAACACACACTATGGTGCTGACTGCAGGAGGAAAGCTGAGTCAGTGAATGTGTAAGCATCTCAGCGCTGGCAGGGGTCTCCACACGGCTGCTCCAACACTCAGGGCTGCATCGGGGTAGGTCCATGTGGCTTTTCCTTGGGGATGTCTTGCAGGAAGTGAGCCTCGCAAGCTGAAGCAGGGAACTGGCTAAGGCAGCTGTACCCTGGTCCGACCATCACAAAGCAAGAGACCTGAGAACTAGAAAGGCAAGGCTCACGGAGCCATTTATCTCTCCACCCTTCAATTAACCACAAATGTGTTTATCGGCCAGGTGGGCACAATAAACTTTATATCAGCATCTAACTCGATGGCAGTGAGTTTGGTTTGGTTTAGGTTTTCAAGCACCCACTTCTCGAATCTTGTAGAAATATCCCCTGGGTGTTTATCAAGGATTTTTTTTTTTTTTGCTGCTGCAGATTAGAAAGTGAGTTTCTTCATAGGCTGCACAGACAGTGTGGCTAGCTACACTCTCATATTCCTTCCACCTGCTAGCCAGTTGCCAACCAGGAGTGTGCGGATTGTGCTCTCCCAGGGCCATGCGTCCTGCCTACAGACCATGGCGGTTGTGCAGCACGACCACTTGGCAGGAGTGCTACTGTCTCAAGCACACAAAAGGACTAAGTCCAGAGACATGTCACGATGCTAAATTCACATGTTTATTCATCAAAGAGGTAGCAAATTGTATGACTACCATACTTATAACTAACATAATGATGCACTTTAACATAATTTGAGGAATACACCGTCACACATCGTAGGTGGCTTATCTTACTGGTGGAGAGCTTAGAGTGATATGGTGTCCCCTTTGCGTTGAAGGAGCTCTGACCTCGTCTGTCACCGGTAGGGTTTTTATACACTAAACAACTTTGCTTACGTCATTATTACATAGCTAGCCCTTTCTGGTAGTTCTGATAAATTTTACCAGTGGGCATCTGGAGCTTGTTTACTTGTACAAACAAAATGACTAAGCATTTATCTTAGTTGGTTACTTTCAATATGGAGTTTCTTTTGCTCATGTCAGCTACCTAGAGAGGTTTGCCATTGGTTACACATTATTTTCACAAAGAACGAGGAATACGCACATATCCATAATCTCACTGAATGTTAATGGGCTAAATGAACCAGTAAAGAGACAAGAGAGTAGCACAATGGATAAAATCCATCAATATGCTGCCTACAAGAAACACACATCACAAATACAGACATGAGCAGACGAAAAATCAGAGGCCGGACAAAAGCATACCAGGCAAGCAACAACCAAAAGAAAGCATAGGCTTAACAGTTGTATGAGCCCCTAATAAAATGTTAAAAAAGAAAAAAAAAAAAATAAAATGAGTTGTATGATCCAAAAAAAAAAGATTAAAAGGAAAAAAAAAAAGAAAGCATAGGTAACAATATTAATCTCTGAAAAAATAAACTTTAAGGCAAGTAAAATAATAAGAGACAAGAAGGGACAATACATAATGACCAAGGGAACAATAGGTTAAGAAGACATAACTATAGTAAACATATAAGCACCCAGTAAATGACCTCAAAATACATCAATCAAATCCTTACAGATTTGAAAAGGGATATAGACACCTAGCCAATAAATAGACACCTAGCCAATAATAATAAGAGACTCCAATTTGCTACTATCAGGAAAAGACAGAAGATCAAGAAAAAAAAACTCAATAAAGACACAAAAAAGCTCAGCAACAAAATCAACTTCATAGTATACAGAATGCTCTATCCAACAAAAACATTCTTCTTCAACACACATGGAACATTTTCAAGAATAGGCCACATACTAGGACAAAAAGTATGCCTCACACATTCAGAAAAATTGAGGTTGTACAATCTATTTTCTCAGACCACAGCACTATAAAATTAGAAATTAACAATAAAATGAACAGGGACATAAAGACACACACCTTGACATTAAATAATATAATACTGAAAAATAATTGGTCAATAAAGTAAAGAGAGGCAGAAATTAAAAAAAAATTCTTTGAGACAAATAACAACACAATATATCAAAAGTTTTGGGATACTCTAAAAGCAGCAATCATAGGCCAGTTTATAACAATCAACACACACATGAAAAAAGAGGAGAAATTCAAAATCAAAACCCTTCAAGAACTGGAAAAAGAACAAAAGCATAAACTATCCTATAAAAGAAGGGAAGAAGCCATAAGGATCAAGGCAGAAATAAACAGCACGGAAAACAAGAAAATCAACAAGACAAGAAGCTGGTTATTTGAAAGGATTAAAAAAATAGACTGACAAACTTAAAAAGGCAAAAAAGAAAGAAAAGATGAAAAAAACTAGAATGAGATGAAAAGGGTAACATTACAACACATCTAAGTGAAATAAAAAGAATAATCACACAGTACTATAAAAAAACTCTATTCAAACAAAAATGGTTTTGTTTATTTTGATTGTTAAGGGTCTTCTGATGCCTGTTATCTGGTCCCGATGACACTTCATGATCATCACACAGGCTGGTGTGCTTCTTCCATGTGGGCTTGTTGTTTCTTTGCCGGATGGCCACTTGTTTCACTTCAAGCCTTTAAGACCCCAGATGCTATAACTTTTAATAGCCGGGCACCATCTGCCTTCTTCACCACATTTGCTTATGCATCCATGTTGTCTTCAGTGATTGTGTCAGGAGGGTGAGTATCTCAGATTACCAATTTGTTAGAACAACGTGTTCTCGTGTTGAGGGAGAATATGAGCAGAGGCCCAAAGTCCATCCACTACCTCAGCCCTACACCACTCTTTTTTTTTTTTTAATTATTTTATTGGGGGCTCATACAATTCTCATCACATACATCCACTGTGTCAAGCACATATGTACATTTGTTGCCCTCATCATTCTCAAAACATTTGCTTTCTACTTTAGCCCTTAATATCAGTTGCTCATTTCCCCCTCCCTCCCCACTCCTCCCCTACACCATTCTTATTCAACATCATGCTGGATGTTTTAGCTAGAGCCATTAGACAACAAAAAGAAATAAAGGGACTACAAATGGGCAGGGAAGATGACTTGCAGATATGATTCTCTC